GTCACAGGTGATGCAGAACAGAGGGCAACAGTGCCTCTTTCTCCTTCCCTCACGAGGAGGCAGGCCTCTTTTCAGCAAGATGGGGAGGTTAAGTTCATTCTCATCCTGAGCATAGGCCGGTTTCAAACAAGTTCAGAGGGTAATGTCTCTTATCTGTGGCTGGCAGCATGTGACCTGGGCATCAATCCCACTTTCTCTTTCTGCCCATCTTCGCTGGCAGAAGGAACACATATTGCACATGTTCCAAGCTGAGAGTACAGAACAGATCAGGGCAGGCCGTCTGGCCGGCTGTTACAGGACCTGAGTGCCTTGGAGTGAGTGCTTAGAGAGGTTGCACAAGGCCTAGAAGCACTAGCCGGTACATCTACACAGAATGGTTCCCTAGTGGCTGCAAAGAATTATTGAGGCTTTCTAAAGTGACTCATTCCCTCCCCGAGTCATCTGGGCTCAGGGAAAACCTGTCTTGCTGATTGTTAGTGATTTAATGGTGGTGGTGATGGACCTCTGATAACCCAGAGATCCGCTTTAGCATTACTGGCAAAGGTCTGTGGTCTGGAAGTCAAAGGTCACCAAGCTTGTGTGCATGTGTCTGTTGTCTGTCTGCTTGTCTGTCTCTCTCTATGGTCTCTGTCTGACTGTGTGTGTGTGTATGTCCACTTCTCTGACCCTGAGTCTAAGCTTTGCCTTCACTAGGGACAAACCACACTCTCTGGAAGGACAGCCCAGCAAATAAAGTGTTTGCTTCTGATCCCCCAGAACCCATGTAAAAAGCTGAGAGGGTGAGACAGAGAGCCTGCCATTGTTGCACAGGGGAAGAGACAGAAAACTTGGAGCAAGCTGGCCAGCCAGACTCACTGCTTTTGCACGGGATTCTGGAGAAGCTCTGCCTGGAAATGGAAGTTGGAGACTGGGGAATGATGGAAGACACGGGACCACAAACACTGGCCACAACACACACAAGCACATGTGAACATGCACACCTTTGAACACAAGTACACACATGCACACATTAAGAGACAGAGAAGTCACCTGATTCTCACCAGCTTTGGCTCTGAAAACCCAGGCAAAATCTCTCTTAGGCAGTGGGGACTGTGGATTGCACTTGTGCTTTTCCATAAGTGACAAGTGACAGAGATGCCATTGTTTAGGGTGGGGAATGAAAATCAAGCCAGTTGAGGTATCTGTGGCCCCTAGATCCTTCATTTCCAATTGTGCTTTCTATGAGTCACTTCTGTCATCTTTCTGTGTGTTGATTCCTACACTGATGCTTTGAAAACTAAGTCCCTTTTCACATATGAAGCCAACTACCCACTGGCCCTTCTGTTCCCCTAAATAAAATCTTTCTTCTCTCCTTTTTACGCGGTAGGAAGTGTAACTTGTCCTGTGTGTGTGATCAAGGGGTCATTTGCAAAATTGCCTTATTATCCTATTATTTTCCAGGAGCTTTCTGTCCTGGGGTGGTAGGGGTGTAAGCAATCTGTCCCTTAAGTGTACTGCTTGATGGGCAATTTGCTGTGACATTAACAAGAAAACAACAAACGTTTAAAGGTGACCATTCATCTTTCTAAATGAGACTTAAAAGTCACAATTTCAACAAAAAGAAAGAATACTTAAGACTATAGGCTTTAGGGTGTCTTCTAGCTCATGCCAGGAAGAAGCCTTTTTGAGATGACGGTGACTGGTAGGTGACAACCCGTGGGCAGACCACAAAACCTTCCCTGGAGCAATACTTCTTGAACTTCGGGGTCATGCATTGATTAGTGGGTCATGAAATCAACTTAGTGGGTCATGACCAGAATAAAAAGCAAAACAAAACATGAAATACATGAGACTAAAGCAGAATAGAAATTTCTAGAGTGTATGAAATGTAGGTCGCAGAGTATCCTGCGAAACCTTGATTTAGGGATGTGTGTGTATGTACCATGCCCCAATGCATTATGTATTTCTTACTATAGTTGATACTTTAAAACTTTCAAAACTACACCCCCTGGAGGTGTCTCAGTGCTGGTTTCAAAAGACTTGCTCCGGTTTTTTGACATAAGTTTATACAAAAGCAGAAATTCTCCTCATACGGCTCTACTTAAGCTGTCCTCAGGTTACTGAGTTCTACTTTTTGTTCTCTGGAAAACACTTAGCTGAGTGGGTCCAGGTTGTCTGTCTCCTGGAGGATCTTCCTACCCTTCATAAGTATCCCAGTGTTTGTACATTTTTACTTTCCCTTTCCAATTTATTTCCTTTGATGATAGCTTGCCAAGCACATTAAACAACAGTAAAGATGTCAATGCCCCACTCCAAACCAAGACATTGACATTTCAGGCACATTGAAGCCTGTACCTTTGTAAAGAATCGCATTCCAGAATTTAGCTTTGAGGGAAGGACATTTTTCCAGCATTCTTGAAGTCTAACCTGTGGCTAGCCTCATTCACTAACATTTTCTTTTCTATATATACATATACATAATCCTTCCTTTGTTTTTGTTTTGTTTTGTTGGCTTTGAGACAGGTTTTCTCTATGTATCTATCAGCCTCCTAGCTGTCCTGACACTCGCTCTGGAGACCAGGCTGGCCTCAAACTCACAGAGATCCTTCTGCCTCTACATCCCAGTGCTGGGATTAAAAGCATGCACCACCACTGCCCTGCCTGTTTTTTTTTCTAAGTTCTTCTTTATTATATTTTATTTATATTTATTTAATGTGCATTGGTGTTTTTACATGCATGTATGTCTGTATGAAGGTGTTGGATCACCTGGACCTCGAGTTATAGACAGTTGTGAGCTGTCTTGTAGGTGTCCTGGGTCCTCTAGAAGAGCAGTCAGTACTGAGCCATCGCCCCAGCCCCCACTGATTTTTAAAATACATTTCTTCGTAGTCTTTTCTAAAAGAAATTTGTTGTTCTTTTTTGTTTTGAGACAGGATCTCATTCTGTAACCCGGGCCAGCCTAGAACTCACTGTGTGAACTAGATGGCCTTGAACTCACAGCAAACCTCCTGTCCTAACCCTCTGAGTGTTGGGATTACAAACATATGCCTCTATACCAGGTTGTCTTGGTTTGGTTTTCTTTTAAGAAATTATATATGCAAAATTATATGCAAAATTATTAGAAACTTTAGGAAGAAATATCTTTTATCTCAACCAACTTTATATTCATCCTTACACAGCTAACTTACTACCTGGCTATTTCAGGAGTTGCTTTGACTATTCATCACAATACAATCATACCATCTCTTGTAACACTTGATTCATACCATTTCCCAGTGCCACATTAATAATGTAAGATTGAACATAAGGTTGTTACATAAAGTCTTTCATCAAGCAACTATAATAACTTAAAGAAAATACCCCTTTACTGTGCCTGCAGTGTCAAACCCAGAGTGCTAAGTACTTTTCACATACACGTTCGTATCTTTCCTTGCAGAACCACCTCAACACAAACATCATTAGTTCTCTGGCACTCTTCCACAGTGCATGCAGTTTTACAGGTGAGAACATTAAGACTCTGGCAACACTGATCCCTGCCTGCAGTACACACAGCCACACACCCAGGGGATGTCATTCAGCTCAAGTCCATTTTACTAACCCCAATGGCTTTCCTCGTTTATATACATCACTTTGCCTTCCAGCTGCAGCCAAAAACACTTTCATTTTTAAGTAGCTCATCTGTCCTCATAGGGACATGGTTATGAATATAAAAGCACCCAGAAAATTAGAGTGTTTGGTTTTTGCTTTTTAAATAAAGGATGCTCTCTCTTAGAGTGGTTCTCTATACTACCTACTCGGAAAGCACCTGGTTTTATCATGCTAGCTCAGTGTTTTCTGTTTGCTCTCAGCAGCCTAGTCACTTCACCTTCAGCCACCTTTCCGTGTAGCAATAAAGGACAGGAGAAAAAAAAGGTAGGCAGGATGTATCATCACTGCATGCTGCTGGCATTGGGTTAACCTATTTAGATCTACTCGGGTAATTCTGTTTCCACATACAAACATCCTGGCGCTGGAAGACTTCGGTGAAGAACATATCTTCCCTCAGCACATAGCTTCTATATTCCCCACCCCTCTGTCTGCACAGCACATGTTTAATGATAAGCCTTTCCACTAAAAGTCGGCCTATCGATAGGTTATCAGAAGTCACAGATACTTATCACCTCTCCCACCCTGACAGCAAAAGCATGAGGCTGATTTTATAATGAAATGGCCTTAGAAATCAAAGTTAGGGATTTGCTTAAATTGGGAATGGAATGATTAGTTACAAAATGTGGTTTGGTCACTGCTCAGATGCCAAACTCCTAAATAACTTGCCTGTATTAATTCAGTTTTAAGTTTCAGGAAATAAAATAATCATGTAGTTAAACACAGATCCTTATGCAAACAAGTGGTGTGTTTACAACGCACCAACCCATTTACTTAAACCGCAGACATTTGCAAGGAACCCAACAGACAAGCACTGGCCATTGGCTCACTCCCCATGCAATAAAGTCAGCATCCTACTGGAATCTGTTCTGAAAACAATGGTTTTACTGCCCTAATGTCAGGGCAAACAAATAGTAAATGCCTACTTGACACCACTAGGCAGTGGTATCATCTGCACTTTGCAAGATCTGAAACAATTAAACATTGGCATTTTTTTTCCCCTTTGAAAAGAAACCTTCCAGATAATATCATTATAACATAGTTTGTGACGTAGTCACTTGAAAAAATTAGTTTAGTAGCTGTTTGATGTTGCATTTTGGGGGAAACAAACCATCTCTGAGTTAGAAGAGATGAGTGCATTCTGCTATATGGGAACAAAACAGTACTTAATGTCTTGTTCAACAGCATATCCCAATTAGGAGCTACCCAGAACCAAAGCCCTATCAAGTTAAGCTGTAATAACCTTGCAGTAATAGTCACAAAGACCTCTTGTTTAAGTCATATAAACAAAAGGAGAACCTATTCTAAGCACCAAGAACATAAGTAATGGTGAGGAACCTAGTCAGATCTTTGAGAGGAGAGTAGGCATGACATACCTTCAGTTCTCTGAAGAAGATACTACTCCTGGCCCATTCAACAATGGAGAAGAGGGTCAGGTCCGCCATTTTGCACATAAGCCCAAACGTGTTCAGCTTTCCATGCTTGCCTCGGAGGCCCTGGTCCTCCTGTAACTGAGATGAGATTTTCCCTTGAACTCGAGGCTCATCTGGCTCACACTTCAAAAGTTCCAGGATCAGATGTGGGATGCTGGCTGGGGAGCTCGTCTGATAACCATCCATGTAGGGGTAGCCCATCATTGACTCAGGTGAGCTGGTGTAAGGATCTGGATACTCAGACTTGATGGCCCGATTAGGAAAGTGACCATATGGTTGGTAACCTTGCAGGCTGCCATGAGGTGGCATTGTCATGCTAATGGGAGATGTGACAAAGGGACTTCTGTCATAGTCTGTGGGAGGCAAGGCAGCATGGTTTAGAGGTAGGCCTTTGGAGACAGAATGAATGTTCTGAATTGCAGAGGAGATGGTCAGGTCTGAGGGCATCCCTTGGATCACTTGAGACATGGCTTCCAGCTTAAGTCCATTGGCTCGAATGAGAGCTTTCTTCTGTTGCTTGAGGGCCCTGTCTCTCTTGTACATTGGCCCAAACTTATTTCTGCCTCCTCGCATGCGGTCAGCTCTTACGGCTATTGACAGAGGAGAAAGGAAGGGTTTATAAGAGGGAAGTTAGCATTCTGCAAGATCTCTAGACATTTCAAATTATTGGTAATTCACAGGAAGTGATTTCAGTGCATGTGTGTATGTTGTGTGTATTTTCATTGTGATAACCTACAGAGATATTCCAAGAAGAAATGCCTTCCTAATGAATTCTTTCCTTCAAGTGGGCTTTGTTATCAAAAACATATTTTGGGAAACCTGTGTGGACTGAAAAAGTTTCACAACAGATATTTAATATTCATGGGGGAGCGGGTTCCTTTCTGGGTAGGCCAGTTTCTAGTATGCAAGCTATGTCATGATTTCTCATGGAAACCAAAATTGTATTCCTGCTGTGTACCTGTGTATGTGTCTGTGTCATTTTTGTTTTGTTTTGTTTTGTTGTTTTAAAGAAAAAGAGAATCAACTCATTTCGGAATTAAGTACCTCCTCTCCCAACATCGTCCTCATTAGCTGTGATTTTTGGACACTTTGTTACAAAGGTTAGTTAAGTACAGGTTCTTCTTGGAAAACCCCTTTCACCAGGACTTGATGACAGCACATTCGAAAAACCACCAGCCATGCTTTGAATTTAAGGGGGATTGGACATAATTAAAACAAAGTCATTTCAAAAGTTGACCGGAGGCTCTGCTGTGCCACAGGGGTGTGGGGTGGGAGCTGTGCCTAATAAGTTAGTCGGCAGAGCTCTCCAAGTCCATGACAATGGCCAGTGGTCATTAGACAGAGCCTAGCAACCTCTGACAGCTTGGGACATGTTGAGATTGCTGGAGGTCAAGTTGTTGAGCTTTTTAAAGTAGGATTAGTACTCACATTAAAAATTTACTGTGAATTCTAAGAATCCATAATTCTCTACTGGATCATAAGAGTTTTCCATTTACATAGTTCATCAAATATTCTATTGTTCTATGACCACTGTTGAAGTATAAGTATGGTGATGGGCAACTCACACACAATTAGCCCAGCACAATATTGAGGTTAAAACACACAACGTCTTTTCTTTCATTAAAAATCAAGTGACAGGGTGGGGAATCACACCATTTAAGTTTTAGCATTTTATCTTCTGTTCTTGTCTTATAGTTAGCATCTGCCACTACTTGGCAACTAAAGGGATTGATGATAAAATTAATAAGCATCAATTATTTCCTTTCTCAATCGCCTCCTAAAATTAGGCCCTATGCTAAACCAAGCGGCTGCTTCTATTTGAACGAATTTGTTAGCAATTGGCAAATTTTCTCAAAAAAAAAAAACTCATTAATTTTTTCAGTATATCTACCAAGAGTGAGTTCTATTATAACAGAAAACCTTCAAATAAAAGTGGCTGTATCTCCTTGATCAAATGAGGTACACTCTAGCACAGTGCTGGGTGCCCCCGCCATATTATGTTATTTGCAGTCTGTTTAATCTGTGGAAGGCCAGTAGGTCAAAGGCTGGAAAATAGCAGTGCGCCATAACAGTCATGAAGTACAAATTATTTACAGCAGTCACATATTAACTTCACTGACTGCCAAGCTGAATGCTGCAGCGTTCTTTCAACATTTTAGTGTGACTTTTTAAGGACCCTTCTAGGGTTCATCAAACCATTGCTACTGATTTGCGTCCACTGCTTTGCATATTCTTGTTAAATTTTAGATTCAGTCATTGCCTTTTTCTTAAAAAAAAAAAAGATGTATACTTTTATGCTGTATTAAAAACTGGAATGCTGTATAAGAAATTTCTTTTCACACTTACAAACTTTTCTCAAGAGCCATGAAATGAATAAAAACAATTATGGCAAGCATACCAATTATTTCAAAAAAATAGTAGGGCATCTTGATTTTAAAAATTAAAGAGTTATTTCATTTTATTTTTCACATTTTTTTTACAAATGAATTGTATTTGTTCTCAGTAGAGTAGCTTCAGTCTTGTTGACCTTTTCAATATCAAATGTATCAATATCAAATGTATTTCAAACTAAAAGGAGAATGGGACAATTTTCTTGTTCTCTTTTTTCCCCCTAGATGTTACCATGTTCAAATGACAGCTTATTCTACAGACAAAACATAAAAATAATTTCCATCATTGTCAATAGTCTTAAAGTCCATGTTTTAAATGTTTTAAAGTCCATGTCCCAGGCTACTTAATTGGCAGAATCTTACCTTCTAGCTTCATTCCAACACTTAGACATTTTTGGAATCGACAGTAAGGACAACGTTTTCTCTGTGTTTTGTCAATTTGGCAGTTCTGGTTTTCTATACATGTGTACCTTTTATTGTTTTGGACTGTTCGCTTAAAAAAACCCTACAAGACAGAGAAAACAGTGAGGCATGTTTTAAGTCTAACCTGCTTCTTCTATTGTTTCACTCTAAGGAAACCACCAGTAAATCTTCTCATTGTGCCACTGAGCCCTTATGTGGGCCTGTGGTTTATTCACATTTTAGTAAGACCAAGCCTCCTGCAGCAACACCAGGCCTCAGTGATGATTTTTCTGGCCTCGGAGTTACACTGCTGAAGAATTACGTCAATTTCATACCGTTTTGTTCTGCTAGTCTGTGTGGGGGGGGGGAGGGAAATATTGACCAATGATTTTTTTTTAACCTGGTTTCCTATTAACATTAATGTTCCAAAGAGAGGTACAACATAGAGCCCTGCATTGTTTTTAGGTAGTCTCATACAATCTGTCACAAACCATTGTAAAATGCCAGTGTTAGAACTGAATATCAAAATACCTCAGATCTTTTACAAACGTCAACACTCGACAGTTAAAAGGAAAAGGACTTCAAGAGCAAAAATGGGGAAATGCTGCTAATGCCAATGGAACCCATTCAAGGGTGGGAACTGTGTTTAAAAAATTCAACTAATAAAAAAGACACACACACAGGCAGGGACACAGCACAATCCGAGAAGCAACTGCAGCAAAGCTCATGACTGCCTTACACTCAAGGGACTGGTCAGAAATACAGTGTGTGGTTTTCAAATAGTGTCACCTCTACTAAGGTGACATCTGAGTGACCACAAACAGAAACAATCTTATTTTGTTGTGGAAAACAGGGGTGGGGGTAAGGGGGATGAGGGGTGCTTGACCTAGCAATGGTCTAAATAAATGCTGAATTTTCTACTTTAAAGAGTATGTTGGGGGGGAGGATAATTGAATTTATGGGGACTATTAAAAAAAAAAAACTGACACAAATCCTCAAGGTCTTGACCAAGATTAGTAACAAAAGATATTGACCATACTCAAATTCCCTGCATTTAAATAAGTCATATGACACATGTAAGAAAATTGTTCAACTAGAAACTAAAATCTGGTTTCTTGGTACCTTGATATAAATTCTGAAAGAAAAAAAAATCTTTAAATTATTTTTGGAATCCATCAGGATGAAGTCATGCAGTCAGGAATTCAAACCTTCATGCCTTCTGGATTAAAAAAAAAAATGTTCCAACTTGCTGCATAGATTACTTTCAAGTTAAAATGCTCTCGAGATATACTTTGTCATGTTTCCTTTCAAGAAGGATGTCTTAAATATATATATGTCATACAAAAATCAATATTTAAGACTGTTAGAAATGAAGTCCTCCTATAGATACATCACTGCGCCACACAACTCTTTTAAAGCCATGAGACTGGCAGAGTTTTCTAAAGAACATAGGTATCTTTGCCTTTAGAACTAAACCAGACATATTTTAAGTACTAGTCTCCTTATGACACTCCCCCCCTCATTTTTTAGTTGAAAAAAAAAAAGGAAAACAGCTTAGGTTTAGCTTTGAAGGGTAATTCAATGGTTTAGTTTTCAGTCAGAACATTCTATTTCTGAGGTAGCACTGGAAGAGCAAACCTTGCAGCTTTCACAGGTAAGGAGACCATAATGGTACCCGGATACTTTATCGCCACACACAGGACATAGCTCTTCGAGATCTTCATCATAGGAGTAATTCACCATTTTAAATTGAGACACTGTAAAAAAAAAGAGAAATGTTCACACATGCCCTATTAATTTCCAATATAGGTTTTAAAGCTGAAAAACAAGACCAACAACAAAAGAGAGGCATATTGGTGGTTGGTGGCCAAGTACCACCAGGTTTAAAATACAAAATAATCTTTACCCAACTGGTATTGAAGGCCACTACTTTTATACAATAAAAGGAAAACATCTTTGGGCATCAGTGAACATGCACTTCAGATTTTTAAATTTAAAAATAATTCCAATTTTTTTTTCTTGGTTAACATCTTAAACTGACCACTGTTCAACAAAAGCCAACAGATCAGAAAAGAAACATGAACCATATAAAGTAACAACCTAAAATCTCTTTTAAACCTCTAACGTCCCAAAATGTCACCTTTGCCTAATGGAACAAAAATACGGCTGTGACTGGCACACTCTTTGTGGGTACACCTCACTTTGTGAGGCTAGCAATGCTAATTTACACATGCTACTTGGAGAGCAGTGATCACTCAGAAACCTGCTTCTCAGAAGCAACCCCCTTTTAACAACAGCCTGTGGCTCCCAGGGTTCAAGTCTGTTAGATTAATCAAAACATTCAGTTCCGTATTGACTGTAGTTCTGTTCTGGCCACTTTCATCTCCTCACGTTTGAAAATGTCCTGTGAAAATAAAAACAAGGAAGAGGAGAGGACACCCAGAAAGGGGGCAAAAACAGTCGAGGAAAAGAAACACACGAGGGTTTAGCAGAATTCTAGAGCTTTGTAAATGAACTTCACAAGCTTCCTAAAGTATAAACACCTCCAAGACTGCCCGGCTGAACAGAAATCAGACCATGGCATCCTGGCTCATTGTGGGGAATACTATGGCTAGGCACACAAACCGGCAAACGTCCTAGTCTTAATTGTACACGTGAACCTCAGTGGCCAGCAGACCCCAAGGAACGACCATTTCGGTCAAGCCTCCACCCCTACTCCCAAGTGGCTAGCAATCAGAGCAGAAGTGGGCCGGCATCCAGGCAAGGGGCAGGTCTGTACAAGCGGTCACCACCACCGATGCTCCCCGCACCCTCTTTAAACCCTAATGTGCACCGGCTCTGGGCCCCTTGCTCAACCTTCCTCTACCCAAAGGCGCACAAACTCCAAAGAGAGTTTGCTTTAAGTTAATCAGTGGCATTGCAGGGGGCGGGGCGGGGGAGGGATACCCACAGCCTGGCAGAGGTTTCCTCAGATTTGTTTACTAAAAAGGAAATGGAGAAATAACCCCTACCCCATAGCCAAATTACTATGCCTCTTTATTACCGGGTAATATCCTTAGTCTTTTAAAATAAGTTAGTTTTTATGTTTTTCTGAGTCTTGATGGAGTGTCTGTTCCCCGACGCAGAGCCATAGGCTGTAGCTTAAGTTAGTCCGAAAGTAAGCAACAGTTTGCAAAGATCTCAGGAAGAGGCCCAGCAAGAGCAGTCCCTGGACTCAGAAACTTAGAAGTAAGGGATGCTGAGTTGCGCCTCTCCCCTGCGATGCCCGCCTGACTTCCGACTCTCAATGAGAGGCAGCGCCACTGTAGAGAACCAGAACATGAGGATATGGGAAAAGCTGTGGGTTTGGGAAGTTTGTTTAGCAGACTCTGAAAAGTCTTGACTTCTGTTTCCAGTAGCAATTCTGAGCCGAGGGGGAACAGTGCTTTACTAGAGGTGTGTTCTGTGTCTAACTTCACATTTAAAAATGAGTATCGGGTTGGCAACCACTTATACTCTCCGTGCCCATCTGGGAGATGCCACACGTTAAAATCATCTTCCAGCAAATTCAGAGTGGGAGGCCAGGGCATCACTTTGGGGTTTTTTGTTTTGTTTTGTTTTCCACAGCCATCCCCACGCCCTGCGGCGACTGAATTAAGAGTTGAACTAACTACACCTAAGCGAAGAAATGCCAGGGAGCCTAGAGAAAGGAGAGAGAACCGGTTCTTTAAAAAATCAGCCCTCTTAGAATTCCCCTGAAGTTGGATGCCCCATGCTGCCTGGGGATCCAGTATTTCTCTTTCTGGTTCAGGCACCCAAAGTATGGGTGAACTACCTTGATTTGTGAACCTACCGGCGCGGGGAAGGGGGGGCGTGCTCAGCTTAAGCTGCACCAGGCTTTTCCCACGTTGCTTTCAAACCCCGGGCTAAGCAACCTAGGGCCAGATCTGCTAGCTCCCCAGTTTTGAGGTTGGAGGCCAAGAAGGGCCCTCTCAACTTTAAAAAAAAAAAAAAAAAGCTACCAGAGCATCTCTCTCCAGTCCTCCGTAAACCCAGTATTTTGCTCCATTGCGCTGCTACCCCAAATGTCTGCTTCGGGGCAGGAAGTAGCAAGAACCCGGTTCTCCTGCCGGGAGGAAACTTAGCAGGGCTGGAGACCAGAGCGCAGGAAGCAGGCCTGGGGCACTTCTCAGGAATCCCAGGTGCACCTCTCTTTGGGCCAACAAGGTTCTCTTAGCAACAGACATACAAAGTTATTAGTCTGGGGACTTTGACCGGGGAAGTTCTACAGTCTAACCCAAGGACTTGGAGAGACCCCAAGATCACCCAGGATAACTCGTCCACCTACATGCCTGTCACCCCTTTTCTCTGTACAGCCAGACAGCCTTAGGTTTCCCAGCCAGAGCACACGAGGGCACGCAATCTACCCTACCCGACACAGCAGAGTGCAGTAGCCCCGAGCAAGGCTCTACTCTGACCATTTCAATTTCGCGCAAAAGGGCGGCAGGAAGCTTTGTGGATCACAAGCCAGCTGACCCCGCACATCCTGAACTCTGGTAGGGGCGAAGATGGAAGAACTTTTCCTAGCATTGTTCCCACCATGGCCCGTAGCTAAGATAAAGTTCTGAAGAGTTTAGGCTTCAGAAAATACAGCAGATGAGATTTTATCTTTTTCTGATAACAATCAAGAGCAGGGACACAAATGGGATTATCTTTACTCACAGTTCGGGGGACAGCCCAGGCAGTGAGCTAAACCTGAGCACCCCAACCCCGCATTCAGAACTATCCTGGGTGGGAATGGAGTTAGGGTAACTGGCACTTTTTAAGTTATGCCAGCAGCTTTGGAACTGCCCAAATCCTAGCCATCTGCTTCCAGCTAGACTTTTGGGGTGCTCGCATGATTCTAACACCGTCTTCCTGTGATCTTCAGTTTTTTTCCCTCTACACGGGAGCATTAAAGGGTGCGACAGTTCGAACAACCTAAAACTGGGGTGACCAGCGAGAAATTCCTTTCCTCAGAAAAATTATTCCATGGTACCCTTAGCCTTCAGCTGCCCCAGGCTCCAGTTGGCTATGAGCTCGAAGGCTCTCTACTTAATTAGAAGTGGCCAATTAGACATTGATGAGAAACCACTGTCCGCCTAGCTCAAGTGCCATTAACTTTTATGCTCGCTAAAGAGGAGGCCGAGGCCGGCGCGCTGCCCGGCAGCCTGTAACAGGCTAAGAACTGCCAGCCGGGCTGCTCTGCTGTCCACGCCACAGGAGGCTGAAGCCCGCACGGTTAGCCCGAGGGTGGCAAAGCCAGGAGCTGGAGCGCTGCACCGCAATCCCTTACCTTGCATGTTTTCCGGCATCTGCCCCTGTTCCCCATGCGATCGGACCAGTCCTGGGGCTTCCGTCTCCACTTTGGGCAACATGACAAGGCGGCTGCGAGCGGGAATGCGGGATCGGTGTCGGTCCGGAAGCCCAGCACCTGGACACGGGCAGCACAGATTCAACTCCGGCGGAAAGAGAGAAGGGGTGACCAGCGTGCCCGCTCACCCACCCGCTCACCGCCGGAGCTGCCCGGCAGGACTTCGGAGCCCTGTCCGGTCCTGCAGCTCCCCCGCTATCAAGCCACACTAAGAAGACCACGTCCTGCTGCTGTGGTTCGGCCCCGCAAAGGCAGAGGAGCGACCGCCAGGGCGCTGCTGCCCGGGACAGTGATCTGTGCGCGCCGCACTCAGGAGGGCAGCAGAGGCGGCCGCCAGCTGCTACTGCTGCAGGGCCGCCCCCCAGCTGCTACTGCTGCAGCGGCTGAACGGCTCCAGGACTCCTTCCCCTCCCTGCACCCGCCCTCTGGCTCAGGATCGGCAGGGGTCTCTCTCTCTCTCTCTCTTTCTTTCGCCTCACTTCTCTTCCCTCCTATACTGTCCTCTCCTCTCCGCCCCTTCCCCCTATCTCCTTCGGAGCTCTGGATCGCAAGTGTGGAGTTCTGAAGTTCCAACCTCCCACTCCTCTCCGGTCGAGAACAACCCTTTCCAGCCCCGAGGGTGACAGTGCCGGGAGGAAAGGGGAAGACCAGCTGGAGAAGGGAGGTAAGGGGGATGGGGTGGGGGGTGAGAGGTGAAGACAGTGAATGGGTACGCAGGTTCCGGACTCAGGTCGGACACTAGCCGCTAGCCAATAAGGAAGCTCTGGCCTCTGGTGCCTGCCCCAACCTCTTCACCCCGCCTTAATGTACTCCCACTCCACCCTGGCCTGGGGCGGGAGGAGTGGATGGGGGATGTAAACGCTACTAGGTTTCTCAGCTATAGAGAAGCGACCTGTGTCAGAGCGAAGTGGCCAAGGATCTGAAGCCTGAGAGGCCATTTCAAAGAGCTGAGGGGAGGCAAGAAGGGCTGGGGTGTATGAATGTGGGTGGTCTTTGCATGAATGTGGGGATGAAGAGACCCAAGAGGAGTGAAGTGCCCACTTAGAACACCTAGAAGAGAAAAGGGATGTTGAGTTCATAAGTGGAGGGTGGTTGATCCCGCTATTAAGGTCCACCCTGCAAGCAGTCATCTGAGAGGCACAACCTGAGTGGCTGGGCCCCAAGAACCCAAGGGCTGAGGCTCACTTTAGAGACAACTAGAATCACTGAGATTTCTCTCACTCGCACGGCACGGAATCCGAGTAAATGACCCACCCGACAGCCATTCTTGCTTCCCCACTCTGCTCTGCAGCCCAGCTCCCCGCTTATGAAAAAACACTTCACTCGAGTCCAAGATTATCTTGGTGACAGACTTCCTGATTTCAGTGAGAGCTGTGTTTCCAGACAGGATAGAGAGATCAGGCCCTGCTTTAGAGTGCCTTTGGTGAGGCGGATCCACACGAGGCCCTGAAGATCAGCATTAAAAAGTTTTAAAGAACCATCTGTTATGCACGCTGCTCTTAGGCCACCAGTCCAGCCATATCTTCAAAGTTTTTAGATCTCATCATCCCAATAAGATGAAAAACATTCTCCCCAGCCTCCTAGATGCATGCAAAAAGCTCCACATCCAGGGTCTGTGGTGCAACTGGGTAATTATCAGAGTCCACCCAAGGGGGTGAATTTGAATCTCAAAAGATCTGAATTTATTCTATTTAAATGGCATAGAGATCACGTAAAGTGCCCAGTCTAGTATTTAATGAATATGAAATTATTCCACTCATTGCTTACACTTGGCAGTCCACTGATAGCTAGCAATTCAAATATATTGACTCTCTAAACTGATTTATCTTTTTGCTTTAAAATATCCAGAATCCAAACTATTTAACTTAAAAACTTTTTGTAGCATCTTTAAGGTTCCTAGAAAAGCAATGTGGCCTAAGCAAGTCCCTTCTAGTCACAAGAATTGAGGGGGCCCTGCCAATTAGTTTGTATGGGGGAGTGGGCTGAATTTGCCTATATTAGTGATCATTAAGCTCAAGTTTTCACGTTGGTATCAAGTCACAATGTCAATATATTTTCAGTGTTGCCCGATACTTAAGACATCACTTTGAATTACAAATTCATATTCTTACATAGTTCAGGAAGGGAACAAATCTCCAGGCTCAAATCATTACTCACCGCCTGCTTTACTCTGGAGTTCAGGCAAACTTCAGAATCAGTTTTATTTCAAAGCTTTAAAAACAGGCTCCTCTCACCGCAATTCTGAGAGTTCCTAATGGCCTTTGTTCATTATCTTCCTACCCAGCAGCCAAGAAGCATGCAGAACTCCAGCTTCTTGGTCTGCACTTTGTGGTACCATGGGAGGCTCCCAGAGTTGAGGGAAACTGAAATAAACTCTGGCAGGTCCTTGTGATCTTATTGTGGGGAAAAACAAAACAAAACAAAACAAAAACAAAACAAAACTAGCCAGAAGCAGAGGCTGACGCTGACCCATCGAGGTGAACTTTGTGGTCATGCTCCTAGCATCAGCTTCTGTGCCAGGAAGGACTTGCTAGGCCAAGTTAGTGGCTTCCCTATCCAGCTCAATTTGTCCTCCCAGCAACACTTCTTCCAAAGTTAGAGTCATGTATGCCAAAGGTCAAATGGGGCTTTCATGCCTTCCCACAGGTAGACTTTCCAAGAAAAAGCCTCATAAATGAAAGGGGGAAGACAGGGAATAGGTGTTCAAGACAAAGTTTAAAAGAATCTGGCCTTTGACATTTAAGTAATGCCTCTTGCCTTCCAGAGGTTCCTAGGCTGTCTGTCTGACAACTGAAGGGCCTCCAAAGGGTAGAAGTCTGAAGAATTGAGAAAGTGCCTTTTTGCCTTTAATCCTAGCACTTGTGAGGCTGAGGCAGGAGGATCTCTGAGTTCAGAGTCCAGCCTGGTCCTTGGTCTCTATAATTAGCACAGGTCAGCCAAAGGCTACATAGTGAGACCTTGTTACAAAGGCACGCACGCGATCGATCTCTCTCTCTCTCTTTCTCTCTCTCTCTCTCTCTCTCTCTCTCTC